GCATTAATGTTGTTATTAATAGTTTTAATGATTTCTATATCGTCAGTCCTTTTTTTCTGCTCTGTTGTCAACATGTACAGCAATGGGAACTCCAGTCTTGCCCGTTAAGTGTTAGCCGTTAGCTTCACCAGCCGATCACACGGTCAGGTGATTTTTGCGCACTCCAGTTCTATAGAACCTCCTTGGTTGTGAGCGTGGCAGTCTTTTTGGAACATGGGGCAGATGAATGTGGAGACTGTCTGTTTTGTTTGACTTTTCTACTGCTTTTCACCCTGCTGCTGTCTGAGGAATAATTCAAAGTGAGAGATGCCTTTCTTCACCACACACTTCCYCTAAGTTCTCTCTGTGCCGATATCTTCCCTTGTAGCATAATTTGGTCTTCCAATTGAACATTTCCCTCCTCAAGCTCTTTGCTTAGAATGTATTTGGGTATTCATCATGATCCATGCTGACAGTAGGCCTTAACGCGCACATGTGCCACCGTTTAAGGATGGCAGACATACTGAGGATGCTAGCTCTATCCAGGATAATGTTGTTTGGCACGTTGTCCTGCCAGATGGTGCTGAGGATACATCTGACACATCACATGACAAAGTTGTTCAGTCATTGTTTTTGGTGAGAGTTCAGGGTCTGCTTACAGGTTCACTACATAGACACTGTTTGTGTACCTGTATGTAGGTGTGCTCAGTTAGCTTTCTGTTCCTCCACACCTTCCTGATAAACCAACTGCCTTGAAAGTAGGAAATTATAGCTAGCAAAACGTCCTGAAAACTATTTGGAGCAAAAGGCTTGAAAAAAGTTGCAAAAGCCTTACTAAAAGTAGCCAAGCAGTATCTGAAAACTAATAGTAACCTAAGAGGATAAAAATAGAGCAATTTTGCTGAAGTAGKTTTCTGAAAAACAATGTTTTTGAAGGAAGTAAAGAAATCTCAGGAAGTTTCTATGAGGAAACTTTTGGTAACTAGTTCAGTGTTTTGAACAGTAGAAGGAACAGCTAAAGTTAGACAAATTGCAAAACCCTGATTCAGCGTTTGGGCATAAAGCTGCTGCGATGAAAAACAATGGTCTTCAATAACTCAACATTAAACTTGTTCAACCTTCAGCTGGCATGTGATCCCAGTCCTGATATTAATGGACAGATTAGGTGAAGAACCAGAGGACACTCAGTGGACTGAGGGGCAAAGTGAAAGTGTTTGAAAGATCTGTTTTTAAAAATAAAAATTTAGGGACCGTAAATGTTTCCATGAAAACCTCATGTGATTGCATGACATCAAAATGTCACTTTTATGTTTGTTCCACCCTGTATCACAGTCCCTCGGGGCCCTGAATACAGACACTTCTCAGTGGCCCCTGTGATAATACTTAACCCCCACTTCCCCTCTCCAATCTTCACCATCACCCCCARTCATACTTCATCCCTTCAAACACCTTCACCACCACCTGTTCCTACCTCCTCCCTCCCCCAAACCTGTTCTCCTCTTCCTCCTCCTCTTCCTCCTCTCCTATAGCTCTTAGTGTCTCTGTTACAGGGTACATCCCCAGCTACCTGGAGAAGGATGAGCCCTGTGTGGTGTGTGGGGACAAGGCCACTGGGTACCACTACCGCTGCATCACCTGTGAAGGCTGCAAGGTAAACATTTCTCACTTCACAGACACAGGGTGGAACATCAGTGTGTTGAGGTGGAACTTTATTGTGTTGAGGTGGACCATCAGTGTGTTGAGGTGGACCATCAGTGTGTTGAGGTGGAACATTAGTGTGTTGAGGTGGAACATCAGTGTGTTGAGGTGGACCATCAGTGTGTTGAGGTGGAACATTAGTGTGTTGAGGTGGAACATCAGTGTGTTGAGGTGGACCANTTTCTCAGGGTACATCCCCAGCTACCTCGAAAAGGATGAGCCATGTGTGGTGTGTGGCGACAAGGCCACCGGTTACCACTACCGCTGCATTACCTGCGAGGGCTGCAAGGTACGCTCACACACAGCCAGGACCGGCTCACAGCCCACGCAGTCGGATCTGTGGGCTGGTATGGAACACCAGAACGTTCAGAATTAAATAAATGAATACAATGTGACATAAGTGTGTCTATAGGAATGAATAAATATAATATAGAATGTGACAATGTAACTGTAATGTAGCTAAATGCAAAGAAAAGTTCATTATTATGAATAGTTTTACTTC